GCGGCCGCTTCACCCTGAAGATCCACATACCATCGACTATGTTCGCCCCAGGTGGGGGAACCTCGTCGACGTAGGTGCCTGTGGACTTCCAGGATGCCATCTCGGCATCCATGGCTGCCTGCCACTGAGAGGAGTAAGGACCCGTAATCGCCTCTGCGTAAGAGCGCGGAGTCGGGATGTCTGGAGCATCCGGGTCTCCCTCAGGGGCAAGCAGCATGGAAGCGAAACGAGGTACAGCAGCTGCAAGACACTCAAAGTCCTCCTGCCTGTCCTCAAGCACGTCCGTGCCAAGAGCACACTCACCCCCGACGGACGGAGGAGTGGCAGACGCAGACTCAGCAACTAGAGTAGTGGCGTGCGTGCCGGGGACAGGAGGAGGACGCGAACGAGGAGCGCATCGAGCAGTGCGAACAGGCGAGACAGGACGAGACGCAGGCTCACGACGCTCTGTAAGACCGCCGGACTGCTCAGTGTAAGGAGAGGGAGCAGGTAGTGGGGAGGCGGGCTGTAACGGCGGCTGCGACTGGTCAGGCATAGGACACAGGAAAGGAGGAGTAGGGCCGGTAGAAGACGGGGTAACAAGAACCTGCTGAAGCAGGGGAACAAAGTACGGTCGCGGCCGCACAGTGCCTCCAGCTCCGCCAGCTCCAGAGTCAACAGCTCCAATACCTGCAGCTCCAGTGCCTCCAACTCCAGCTCCGGCAGCTCCAGCGCCTCCTGCGCCAGTGCCTCCAACCCCAGCTCCTCCAGCTCCAGCGCCACCAGCGCCAGTAGCACCAGACTCCGTAAGGTCTCCAGCTCCAGCACCCTCAACACCACCAGTCCCGGCAGCTCCAGTACCCCGGGTACGAGCACCTCCAGGACCAGTGGCCGCAACACCTCCAGTACCGCCAGCTCCAGCAACAACTCCTGTACCTCCAGCACCTCCAGCCCCGGTAGCTCCACTCCGAAGGCGAGCGCGTCGAACAAACCACTCACGTAACTGCTGCGGAGACAATCTCAGCGAAGCACCAGCAGAACCTCCAGACAAAGCAGCACCCAGAGGCTCAGCACCTCCAGACTCCGCACCCTCCGACGCAGCACCCCCAGGCTGAACACCCTCAGGCTCAGCACCCCCAGTCCCAACACCCCCAGGCTCAGCACCCCCAGTTTTAGCACCCTCAGACTCCGCACCCCCAGGCTCCGCACCCCCAGACTCAGCACCCCCAGACGCAGCACCCCTAGACACAGCACCTCGAGTAGCACCTGAGCCGACAGCTATCTGAACAGGCGCAAGACCAGGGAGAGGCTCTACCTGAGACACACCTGAGGGAGCAGGACCCTGGGGCGGGAGGGGGTCTACCGGAGGGGGACCGGGAGCAAGGAAGAGCGGCGGGGGCGGGGGAGGGGCAGAGCGGTAGGGGAAGAGACGGTAAAAGGGAACCGACTCGTCAAACGTGATGTCCTGAGAGGGGAAGACACGGCGCGAGGAGGGGTGGTAAAACTGCCAGCCAGGCGCGTCAGGTAAAACTGCCACCTGGCTTCACTGGGTCGTTTCCTGCTGGTACCCAGTGGAGCCTCCGGCGGCCAGTCGACGGTCTCCGCCAGGCACCCCGTGAGTGGCACGACACACTGAGGACGACTCTTGTTGCTCTTGGTTTTGCTCCTTCCACTGCTGACTCGTCGCTGTTTTTACGCACTGACACCACTCTTCCTCCGTTCTACGTTCTCGTGTACGTAGACGACTTTGTCTTTGCTACTGCCGACATTGAGGCACTCGCCCACGTGAAGTCCAAGCTGCAGAAGAGACACACGTGCACAGACCTGGGTTTGCTGACAATCTATCTTGGCTTGCGGATCACCCGGGACAGAGCACAGCGCACCATTACCTTGACTCAGTCACACATGGTGCAGCAGGTCCTTCAGCGCTTCGGCTTCACGTACTCCTTGCCACAGTCCACTCCTCTGCCTACCGGTCACTCGCTCTCAGCTCCACCTTCGGACGAGTCCGTAGAGCCGAGTGGCCCGTATCCAGAGCTTGTGGGCTGCCTCATGTACCTGATGACTTGCACATGACCTGACCTCGCATACCCTCTCAGCCTTCTGGCTCGCTACGTGGCTCCCGGTAGGCACCGAAAGGTGCACTGGGATGCTGCGAAGAGGGTGTTGCGCTACTTGTGCAGTACGTCGGGCATGGGGCTCGTGCTTGGAGGACGGGCTCGAGTTGTCCTCACTGGTCACGCAGACGCCTCCTGGGTTGACGACTTGGCTACGCAGCGGTCGTCACAGGGTTACACCTTCAGCCTTGGCTCCGGTTCTGTCTCTTGGCGGTCTACCCGCTCGTCTTCTGTTCTCAGCTCCAGTTGTGAGGCTGAGATCTACGCTGGGGCCATGGCTGCACAGGAGTTACGCTGGCTCACCTACCTGCTGACCGACTTGGGAGAGGCGCCTCATTCTCCTCCAGTCCTGTACGTCGACAACAAGGCAATGCTTGCCTTGTGTCAGGAACACAGACTGGAGCATAGAACGAAGCACATTGCTCTGCGCTACTTCCTTGCTCGAGAGCTGCAGCAGCGTGGTCAGCTTTGTCTTGCTTACGTGGCCTCTCGGGCCAACACTGCTGATGTTTTCACCAAGGCACTTCAGCCTTGTGATCATCAGCGTTTCTGTTCTGTTCTAGGCCTTGTACCTACTGTGCCTCACTTGCTTACTTCTTGACTCTGCTTGTACTGTACTCTATATACATATACCTGCATGCTTACACTTGCTAGGTTGTGTTCACTGTATTGTTTGTTCTCCTTTATATAACTCTGTATGTGAACTGGCCTTGTGGCAATTTGCTTGTGCTCAGACTGCGTGGTGACTTTGTGATCCACCCTGAGCTTGCTTTGCCTTTCTTGTCTGGTCTTGTGATCTCTTGTTCTCCCCCACTTTGCCTTTGGGGGTGTGTCAAACATATATGCTATAGTCTATCTAGGCTGTAGTGGGGTATTCCTTATAGGGTACAACACTTTTTGGTTTCCTACTTGTACCCACCTGCTTGCTAGTTCAGTCATTCATTCTGTCAATATTCTAACAGAGAACTTACGGGAGCTAGAAGCAGCAGTATCGTTCTTCGTATCCACATCTACTATCGAATTGACGTATCATAAGTCGCCGAAGTCATATCTAGCTCTACTCGGCTACGTAGATGCGGATCACGCGGATCACCCTAAACCCTAAACCCTAAACCCTAAACCCTAAACAAGCGCTCACATACGGGTTATATCTTCCGCCTTGAGCATGTGGGAACAATCTCCTGGCAGTCATCCAAGCAAGAGCTGATTGCACTTTCATCAGCTGAAGCATAATTCATTGCTGCATGCGCTGCCACAAAGGAAGGGCTTTACCTTCGCCAGTTGCTTCGCGAAGCAAGGTTGCTCCATCTGTCCCAGATTCAGCTCTTCTGCGACAACCAGTCTGCACTTTGCATCGCAAACAAGTCTGGGTTCGTGAATCGAACCAAGCATATTTCACTTCGCTACTTCTTCGTCAAGGACGAAATCGAGCAAGGCAAGTTACAGCTCGATTACTGCCCCACGAGCGAAATGGCTGCGGATTACTTGACCAAGCGCCTGCACGTCCGAAATTCCAGTACTGCATGATGCTGACTGGACTCGGTCACATCATCAAAGACACCGACAACATCTAACTCCAGATGTGAGGATCTGGTTCATGAAAGAGAAATCTATTGAATGATCCACCTGGGTACAAGGCGAGGCTATATATAGGCTCGACACAAGGCAGCTAACCCAGGTGTTACGCGAATGTTCTGAGGGTCGCGAAGCGTCCCAAACAGAACCTTCCCTAACTCGATAGAAAGCAATTCGGTGGAAACCTGAAAAGGCTTGAGTTCGGTACAAGTAACCTGGTTCGGTGCTATAACTATAATAGCATATAGGAATGCACCTAACCTAGGAAATCAAGCATATCCATGTATGAAAAAATAAACATAAGCTAGTAATAGCATAATAAAGTCCAGGCAAGCTAGCGAAGCCAGCATAACCATCGTACTCTCACACCAAAATTGAAGGGTGTTAAATCGTATGAGACATAGCTAGGGTGTGAGAGCTAGGCAAGCGTCGAGAGAGTTGAGAAAGCAAGGAAGAAGTGTTTCAATAAGAAAGCAAGGTACTAGATATACGAGCGAGAGATGCCAAAGGGTGCACCACCTACAGGGACTAATACAGTAACTACACTACAGCTATAACTATATGCAGTTATACAGAAATATATATATGATATATTCTGACACACCCCCTAACTGCATGCAGGAATAGCCATGTGCAGAGCACCCCCAGAAGGGGTACACCCTGCGCAGCGGAAGAAGGAGAGGGCAAATGAGGAGGAGGCGGCTGATGCTGCAGCTGGACTCACAGCACCCCCTCAACCTCCCCCCGCACAGTAGCAGTGGCAGCAGTGAGGAGAGAGAGGAGGAGGCGTGGCGGGAGTTGCTGCAGTTGAGTCACCCGCCTTCCCCCCCCCCTTGTTCCCCCCCCCTCAACTGCTGCACGCGCAGCAGGGAGAGGGAGGAGGCTGGCGCTGTAGGTGTAGCCTCCCCTTCACACCTTCCGCCCCCACACCCCTCCCCTCCCCCCCAACTGCTGCACGCGCAGCAGGAAGAGGGAGGAGAAGGGAGGGGGGGCAGGGTGGGGGGAGGTGGCTGATGCTGTAGCTGGACTCACACCACCCCCTCAACCTCCCCCCACCAGCAGCAGCAGCGGCAGTGAGGAGAGAGAGGAGGAGGCGTGGCGACATTTGCGGCAGTTGTGTGACCCGCCACCCACATCCCCTGAGCCTCCCCACCACTTCACACTCCCCCCCACAACAGCAGGTGCGGCTGGGAGAGAGAGGAGGCAGGCTGGCGCTGTAGGTGAAACCTCCCCCTCACACCCTCCCCTCCCCTCCCACCCAAACTGCTGCACGTGCAGAAGGGAGAGGGAGGAGAAGTGGGGGGGTCGGGGGGGGTCGGGGTAGGGGCTATGCATGGGGCCGCAGATGCGCGTGCAGAGGGCAGCAGGGTGCACGGGGCGCACAGGGCAGCAGGGCGGAAGGGCGCGCGGGGCAGCAGGACAGAAGGGCGCGCGGGGCGCACAGGGCAGCAGGGCAGCAGGGCGCGCGGGGCGCACAGGGCTGCAGGACAGCAGGGCGCGCGGGGCGCACAGGGCTGCAGGGCGCGCGGGGCGCACAGGGCAGCAGAGCAGCAGGGCACGCGGGGCGCACAGGGCTGCGGGGCAGAAGGGCGCGCGGGGCGCACAGGGCTGCAGGGCGCGCGGGGCGCGCAGGACAGCAGGGCGCGCGTGGCGCGCAGGGCTGCAGGGCGCGCGGGGCGCGCAGGGCAGCAGGACAGAAGGGCGCGCGGGGCGCACAGGGCAGCAGGGCAGCAGGGCGCGCGGGGCGCACAGGGCTGCAGGACAGCAGGGCGCGCGGGGCGCACAGGGCTGCAGGGCGCGCGGGGCGCACAGGGCAGCAGAGCAGCAGGGCACGCGGGGCGCACAGGGCTGCAGGGCAGAAGGGCGCGCGGGGCGCACAGGGCTGCAGGGCGCGCGGGGCGCGCAGGACAGCAGGGCGCGCGTGGCGCGCAGGGCTGCAGGGCGCGCAGGGCAGCAGGACAGAAGGGCGCGCGGGGCGCGCAGGGCTGCAGGGCGCACGAGGCGCACAGGGCAGCAGGGCAGCAGGGCACGCGGGGCGCACAAGGCTGCAGGGCAGCAGGGTGCGCGGGGCGCACAGGGCAGCAGGGCAGCAGGGCGCGCGGGGCGCACAGGGCTGCAGGGCGCGCGGGGCGCGCAGGACAGCAGGGCGCGCGTGGCGCGCAGGGCTGCAGGGCGCGCGGGGCGCGCAGGGCAGCAGGACAGAAGGGCGCACGGGGCGCACAGGGCAGCAGGGCAGCAGGGCGCGCGGGGCGCACAGGGCTGCAGGACAGCAGGGCGCGCGGGGCGCACAGGGCTGCAGGGCGCGCGGGGCGCACAGGGCAGCAGAGCAGCAGGGCACGCGGGGCGCACATGGCTGCAGGGCAGAAGGGCGCGCGGGGCGCACAGGGCTGCAGGGCGCACGGGGCGCGCAGGACAGCAGGGCGCGCGTGGCGCGCAGGGCTGCAGGGCGCGCAGGGCAGCAGGACAGAAGGGCGCGCGGGGCGCGTAGGGCTGCAGGGCGCACGGGGCGCACAGGGCAGCAGGGCAGCAGGGCACGCGGGGCACACAGGGCTGCAGAGCAGCAGGGTGCGCGTGGCACACAGGGCTGCAGGGCGCGCGGGGCGCACAGGGCAGCAGGGCAGCAGGGCACGCGGGGCGAACAGGGCTGCAGGGCAGCAGGGTGCGCGGGGTGCACAGGGATGCAGGGCGCGCGGGGCGCACAGGACAGCAGGGCGCGCGTGGCGCGCAGGGCTGCAGGGCGCGCAGGGCGCGCAGGGCAGCAGGACAGCAGGGCGCGCGGGAGGCGCAGGGCTGCAGGGCGCACGGGGCGCACAGGGCAGCAGGGCAGCAGGGCACGCGGGGCGCACAGGGCTGCAGGGCAGCAGGGCGCGCGGGGCGCACAGGGCAGCAGGGCAGCAGGGCGCGCGGGGCGCACAGGGCTGCAGGACAGCAGGGCGCGCGGGGCGCACAGGGCTGCAGGGCGCGCGGGGCGCGCAGGACAGCAGGGCGCGCGTGGCGCGCAGGGCTGCAGGGCGCGCAGGGCGCACAGGGCAGCAGGACAGAAGGGCGCGCGGGGCGCGCAGGGCTGCAGGGCGCACGGGGCGCACAGGGCAGCAGGGCAGCAGGGCACGCGGGGCACACAGGGCTGCAGGGCAGCAGGGCGCGCAGGGCGCACAGGGCTGCAGGGTGCGCGGGGCGCACAGGGCAGCAGGGCAGCAGGGCACGCGGGGCGAACAGGGCTGCAGGGCGCGCGGGGCGCACAGGGCAGCAGGGCAGCAGGGCACGCGGGGCGAACAGGGCTGCAGGGCAGCAGGGCGCGCGGGGTGCACAGGGATGCAGGGCGCGCGGGGCGCGCAGGACAGCAGGGCGCGCGTGGCGCGCAGGGCTGCAGGGCGCGCAGGGCGCACAGGGCAGCAGGGCACGCGGGGCGAACAGGGCTGCAGGGCAGCAGGGCGCGCGGGGTGCACAGGGATGCAGGGCGCGCGGGGCGCGCAGGACAACAGGGCGCGCTTGGCGCGCAGGGCTGCAGGGCGCGCAGGGCTGCAGGGCGCGCAGGGCGCGCAGGGCAGCAGGACAACAGGGCGCGCGGGACGCGCAGGGCTGCAGGGCGCACGGGGCGCACAGGGCAGCAGGGCAGCAGGGCACGCGGGGCGCACAGGGCTGCAGGGCAGCAGGGCGCGCGGGGCGCACAGGGCAGCAGGGCAGCAGGGCGCGCGGGGCGCACAGGGCTGCAGGACAGCAGGGCGCGCGGGGCGCACAGGGCTGCAGGGCGCGCGGGGCGCGCAGGACAGCAGGGCGCGCGTGGCGCGCAGGGCTGCAGGGCGCGCAGGGCGCACAGGGCAGCAGGACAGAAGGGCGCGCGGGGCGCGCAGGGCTGCAGGGCGCACGGGGCGCACAGGGCAGCAGGGCAGCAGGGCACGCGGGGCACACAGGGCTGCAGGGCAGCAGGGCGCGCAGGGCGCACAGGGCTGCAGGGTGCGCGGGGCGCACAGGGCAGCAGGGCAGCAGGGCACGCGGGGCGAACAGGGCTGCAGGGTAGCAGGGCGCGCGGGGCGCACAGGGCTGCAGGGCGCGCGGGGCGCGCAGGACAGCAGGGCGCGCGTGGCGTGCAGGGCTGCAGGGCGTGCAGGGCGCGCAGGACAGCAGGACAGCAGGGCGCGCGGGGCGCGCAGGGCTGCAGGGAGCACGGGGCGCACAGGGCAGCAGGGCAGCAGGGCGCATGGGGCGCACAGGGCTGCAGATCCCCTCCCCCCACTGCTGCACTCGCAGCAGAGGGATGGAGGAGAAGGGGGGGGGGCGGGGGGGAGCTGGTGCTGCAGATCCCTTCCTGCCACCCCTTGAACCTCCAAGATCCCGCCACCCCCATACCCCCCCCCCCCCCCCCCCCCCCCCACCACCACTGCTGCACCCGCAGCAGGGGGATGGAGGAGAAAGGGGCGGGGGGGTGGGGGGGGGCTGGTGCTGCAGATCCCCTCCCCCCCACTGCTGCACCCACAGCAGGGGGATGGAGGAGAAGAGGGGGCGGGGGGGCTGGTGCTTCAGATCCCCTCCCCCCCCACTGCTGCACCCACGGCAGGGGAATGGAGGAGAAGGGGGAGGGGGGAAGGGGGGGGCTGGTGCTGCAGATCCCCTCCCACCCACTGCTGCACCCGCAGCAGAGGGATGGAGGAGAAGTGGGGGGCGGGGGGGGGGGGGGCTGGTGCTGCAGATCCCCTCCCCCCCACTGCTGCACCCGCAGCAGGGGGATGGAGGAGAAGGGGGGGGGGGGGGCGTGGGGGGGGGCTGGTGCTGCAGATCCCCTCCCCCCCACTGCTGCACCCGCAGCAGTGGAATGGAGGAGAAGCGGGGGGGGGGGGGGGGGGGGGGGGGGGGGGGGGGGAGGGGGGAGGGGGGAGGGGGGCTGATGCTGCAGATCCCCTCCCCGCCACCCCCTTAACCTCCAAGCTCCCCCCCTCCCAACACAAGGTGCGGCAGGGAGAGAGAGAGGAGGAGGTGGTGGGTGGCTGGCGTTGCAGAAACCCCTCCTGCCTACCCCTAGGTCAGCCACGCCCCAGAACCGCACCCCTCTTGCCACCCCCTCACCCTCCATGATCCGCGCCCCCAAGTCCCTTCCCTTCCCCCCCCCCCCCTCCTTTTCCGCTGCACGCGCAGCAGGGAGAGGGAGAACGAAGTTGGGGGGGGCGGGTCCTCGGGCGATGAGGCAAGGGGCGACGAGGCCGCGGGCGACAGGTCCTCGGGCGACATGGCCGCGGGAGACAGAGCCGCAGGCCACGGCGCCTTGGGCGACGAGGCCGGGGCCTAGAGGCAACGGTGCCGACGGGCCTAGGGGCGGCGGGCGCGACGGGGCCGACGGGCATAGGGGCGTTGCGCGACGGGCTACGGGCCAGAACCGGGGCCTAGGGGCGTCGGGCGCGAGCGACGGGGCCGAGGGGCCTTGGTTTTTGGGGGGGCCGCGGGGCATAGGGCCGTGCCTAGGGGAGCGACAGGAGACGGGGGCGACGGGGCCTAGGGGCGTTGCGCGACGGGCGAAGGGCCGGAACCGGGGCCTAGGGACGTCGGGGGCGAGGAACGGGCGACGGGGCCGAGCCTAGGGGAGCGACGGGCGCGAGCGACGGGCCGGGGGGGCGGAGCCTAAGGGCGACGGGCCTAGGGGCTACGCGCGACGGGCTACGGGCCGGGACCGAGGCCTAGGGGCGACGGGGCCGAGGGGCGACGGGCCTAGGGGCGACGGGGCCGGGGCCTAGGGGCGACGGGCACGAGCGACGGGCCGGGGCCTAATGTCGAGAGAAGGGCCACACGAGGGTGGCGCGTAGGGCAGCAGGTGGTGGGCCCAAAGAGGTTAGGTCCTCAGGTTAGAACCAGCTCTTAATACCATGTTAAAATCGTATGAGCCACAGCTAGGGTGTGAGAGCTAGGCAAGTGTCGAGAGAGTTGAGAAAGCAAGGAAGAAGTGTTTCACTAAGAAAGCAAGGCACAAGATATAGGAGCGAGAGATGGCAAAGGGTGCACCACCTACAGGGACTAAAACAGTAACTACACTACAGCTATAACTATATGCAGTTATACAAATATATATATACAATATATTCTGACAAAGGGGAGTGTTGGACAAAGAAAAATTGACTTATACAATTCAGTAGTTCGATGAGTATAAAATGTAAAAACTTAGTTAGGAGCCATGGCTAGGGTTTGAGTGTCGAGATAGTTTAGGCAAGGGGAAGGAAAGTGGCGAGAGGTGTTGGCCAACAAAAAGGGGTTCAATAATGAGAAACAGTACGGTACAAGGATATAGGCAAGAACCAAGAATGGTGCACCACCAACAGTTTATGATAGCTACACTAAACTACAGCTACAGGCAGTTACATATATATATTCCAACACACCCCCATAACTGCTTGCAGCAGGAGTTTGTGCAGAGTAAAGCAGCAGTAGGCAAGAGCAGTGACAACCGGTGCAGTGGTGGCATATTCAGCTGCAACAACCCCTCAGCCAAGGTAGAAGCAGCAGAAGCAGGTGCATGTGGCGGCAGGCCGCCTGGAGAGCAGGAGTGTGCGGCGGCAAGAGGTGGCGGCACAGCAGGGCTCAACGGCAGCACCTGCCGCTCAACAGCAGCAGACAGCAACAGAAGCAGTAGGTGGAGGCAGGGGCGGTAGTTGGAGGTGCCACGGTAGCAGCGGGCGGCAGCTGCAGATGCCTGGCTAGCTTCCGCCACCGCCTCACCCTCCCCCCCACAGTGGCACGCGCGGCCGTGGGAGAGAGAGGAGGAGGGGCAGCTGCTGGCTCGGCTGAATCTCTCTCGCCACCCCCTCACACCTCCAAGCTCCCCCCCCTTTCTCCCAACACAACAACAGATGCAGCAGGGAGAGAGAGGAGGAGGTGATGGGCTCCTGACTACTCACTCCCGCCACCCCCATACCCTCCCCTCCACTGCTGCATGCGCAGCAGGGGGATGGAGGAGAAAGGGGGGGGGGCGGGGGGGGGGGGGGGGGGGTGTAGGAGCTGCTCGGGCGACAGCAGGGCGCGCGACGGGCAGGAACCCGTCGTGCGCCACACCCGCCACACCCGCCACCCCCATACCCTCCCCCCCCACTGCTGCATGCGCAGCAGGGGAATGGAGAAGAAGGGGGGGGGGGAGGGGTGATTGTGCAGTAATCAATCATCATTGATTGATTGATTACAATAGATACAACATGAACCTTATAGGAAACATGGTGACGTGTGCGAGAACGTTCTACGAGAACGTTGTTCATGAAGAACGTTGTTCAAGGAGAACGTGCAAGCACCTACTCTAGTATGCGGTTCCAGGTTGGCACCGCCAGGTGAAAACGCCATCAGGTGAAAGTACCGCCAGGTGTATTTTATACCTGTCCAGGAGTAGTTGTGCAGGTGCTCGCAATAGACAGTTGCACATACTCGTTTATGCAACGTCGTCACGTCCCTCTAGTTCGGTCCAGTGTTGAACAGTACATACAGAAGTGCATCGTTGGAATGTACTCGGCGAATACCGACGCTCCTGTATGCGGTATGCGAAACCTCGCTATATCGCATAGGGCTGCTACACGCAAAACTGGGCATGTGCAGGGCTTCACCTTAACAGACAGAGCTGTCTTGTATATGTCCGGGAACAGTCCCACACTGTGCCAAAGCTCCTGAGCTTCAAAATCATTCAAGCCAGCCATGCGCAATCCCCAAATTTCACCTTCATTGGTTGGCCTCCTATGCGTGACGGTCTGGTTGCTCTGTGAAACAGTTCTGTTGGCTGCGTTTCCCTTTTGATAGGCTCCAAAAGCATTGCACTGCATACCGCTTCTGCAGGATGACAATTTCGAAATCGAGACATCGGCGTTGTTCTGTAGGCGTTAAAGCCCAGCCCCAGAATTACAAAGAGGCCTTCACAAACTGTCGCCAGTTTGTGTCTCGCTCCTACTGGTTTCGGGAAAGAAATGTTTAGGGGAGGTTTTCAAACCTAAAATCTATGCTTTCCCAAACCTGTTTTCCCGCGTTGACTTCCGTTGAGTAATTCGGGTGTTGCCCTTTAAATTTCCGGAAACTGGGTCCGCAGAATCTTCGATGATAAGCGGGCTTCTGCCTATCAAGGTTTGGTGATAAGGGAGGTCCTGCTAAACCTGTTTGCGCCAAATTTAACGCTTCTGCCTGCAGAACACCACTTATGCGGCGCACTAATTTAAAGCCCAAGACCTGAATTACTCAACGGAAGACAACGGGAAAAATTAGGTTCGGAAGGCAGGCAGACGGAGGTTCGGTTGGGGTGCGAACCACTTTCACTCGCGAAACCAAATTGCGACAAAAGTCCGTCGCGTACAAGAATTCGAGTGATGGGTGGGGTCCCTCACACAACAACCAGAAAAGGGCGTCCATCCCAAACTGTGCACAGTTTGGGATAGCACGAAGATAACTAGGCATATAGCATACCTGTAGACATAGCGAGGAATCAGAGGCGGCTTACGAATGTGGGTAACGCGGATCTCGATGACGACGCACAAAGATAGTGTTCGCTCGTGTCGAAATGCAGGTTTAGGGTGCAACTGATGCGTAAACTCTCGGCGAATATCGTACCGTGACCCTTCGCCCAAGCGTAAACCTCTCTCCTCGCCCTCGCTTACCCTAGGTCCCACGCTTCCGATCTCTTTCGCCATCGCAGCCGCGTGGGATGGCGCCTCCAAGACCCCAGCCCGATGCCTTCTGGACCCCAGCCCGTCGCCTTCGCTTTCCACGCCTGTCGCCTTCACTTCCCCTCCCCCGTCACCTTCACTTCCCCTCCCCCCGTCGCCTTCACTTCCCCCCACCCCGTCGCGCAACATTCCCCCTCCCGTCGCCTTTCCCGCCCGTCGCCTTCGCTTCTCCCGCCCGTCGCCTTCCCTTCCTCTACCCATCGCTCTCGCTTCCCCCGCCCGTCGCACTCGCTTCCCCTGCCCGTCGCACTCGCTTCCCCCGCCCGTCGCACTCGCTTCCCCGCCCGTCGCACTCGCTTCCCCGCCCGTCGCACTCGCTTCCCGGCCCGCGCTTCCCCCGCCCGTCGCTCTCGCTTCCCCCGCCCGTCGCACTCGCTTCCCCCGCCCGTCGCACTCGCTTCCCGCCAGTCGCACTCGCTTCCCCGCCCGCGCTTCCCCCGCCCGTCGCACTCGCTTCCCCCGCCCGTCGCACTCGCTTCCCGCCCGTCGCCACCACTACCCCTCCCATTGCCGTTCACTCTCTCCATCTCACGCTCTCCCCCTCGCTCACTCGCTTGCCCACCCGCAATCTCTTCTCTCCTGCTCACTCCCCTCCCCCCTGCTCACTCTCTTCCCCCCTGCGCACTGCACACTCTCTTCCCACCCCCCTCACTCTCTTCCCCCCTGCGCACTGCACACTCTCTTCCCACCCCCCACACTCTCTTCTCCCCTGTGCACTGCACACTCTCTTCCCACCCCCCACACTCTCTTCTCCCCTGCGCACTGCACACTCTCTTCCCACCCCCCTCACTCTCTTCCCCCCTGCGCACTGCACACTCTCTTCCCACCCCCCTTACTCTCTTCCCCCCTACGCACTGCACACTCTCTTCCCACCCCCCTCACTCTCTTCCCGCCCGTCGCACTGCACACTCTCTTCCCACCCCCCTCACTCTCTTCCCCCCTGCGCACTGCACACTCTCTTCCCACCCCCCTTACTCTCTTCCCCCCTACGCACTACACACTCTCTTCCCACCCCCCTCACTCTCTTCCCGCCCGTCGCACTGCACACTCTCTTCCCACCCCCCACACTCTCTTCTCCCCTACGCACTGCACACTCTCTTCCCAACCCCCTCACTCTCTTCTCCCCCATCCGTCTTCACTCTCTTTCCCCTTTTTTTCTCACCCCTCTGCCCCGTCCACATCCAACCCTCGCTTATCTGCCATACCCCCTCTTCCATCCCCGTTCTATCACAGAACCATGCTTGGACAGGTGCCCACCACCATGAGTTAATGTGATGAAAAGTTACCACCTCCTAGCTTTGTGCATTGTGCCTATAGTCCACTGTTGACAACTTTTATATGCTTTGTTCCACTTCTTTTTTGTGGCCATGTGCAACCCTGCTCTGAAGCCGACAGTGTTTTAATATGAGACGCATAAACATCAATACATGGCATGGTTACCTATTTGTCATACCACTAATCATCAACCATGAAATTTGATGTGTCATATGGTACCGGTATGTTGAAGCAGCTGGGAAGGACTGTACGAAACAATGACAATCGAAGGGCAATCCCCTTGAATATACAAACAGGCGAGGAGTGTACAGGCGTGGAAGGGAAAGGGGGGATGGGAGGATGTGAGGAAATCAAGTAGGGTGTAGCAAGTGGGTCGGACAGAAAAGGCGGCCGACAGGAAGATCGGAAAGTGGCAGCTTGAAAAAAAGGGCGGCAGGGTGGAGGGGCAGGAGGATGAAAGACAGAGTGGGTGGGAGAGTGGTAGGGTGGAGAGAGGCTTGGAGAAAGGGCTGAATGGAGAGTGGAAGGGCGGACGGTACTTGCCATTGACGATGACGCAAACGCGATGGGAAGGGAAGAGATATCAGCGGGGAGAAAAAGCGCAACGCGAGAGATGGAGAAAGGGAGGAAGGGGTATGAATGCGGAGGAAGGGAGGAGGGCAGGAGGAGAAAGTGTGGCAGGGGGTGGAACAGGGGATAGGAGGATCCCTGCACCCTCTCTCCCTACCCCCCCGCCTCCCCTGCCCCCCCTGCCCCGCCTCCCCCACTCCCCTGTCCCGTCTAGGGGAAGCGTGGGCGAGGGTGGGGGGAAGCGTGGGCGACGGTGGGGCGGATGGGGGGATGAGAGGAAGAGTGGGTGATAGGAAGGGTGGGTGAGAGGAAAGGAAGATGAGACGAAGGGAGGATGAGAGGAAGGGAGGATGAGAGGAAAGGAGGATGAGAGGAAAGGAGGATGAGAGGACGGGAGGATGAGAGGAAACGAGGATGTGAGGACGGGAGGATGAGATGAAGGGCGGATGAGAGGGTGGGGGGAAACGTGGGCGATGGTGGGGGGAAGCGTGGGCGAGGGTGGGGGGAAACGTGGGCGACGGTGGGGGGAGGCGTGGGAGACGGTGGGGGGAAGCATGGGAGACGGTGGGGGGAAGCATGGGAGACGGTGGGGGGAAGCATGGGAGACGGTGGGGGGAAGCATGGGAGACGGTGGGGGGAAGCATGGGAGACGGTGGGGGGAAGCATGGGAGACGGTGGGGGGAAGCATGGGAGACGGTGGGGGGAACCCTGGGCGAGGGTGGGGTGAAGCGTGGGCGAGGGTGGGATGAAGCCTGGGCGATGAGCGGGGAAGCGTGAGAGAAGGTGGGGGAAGGCGCGAGCGACGGTGTCCCCGGGAGTGGGGTAAGGCAGGAGGATGCGTGAGTGGCGACAAGGGGAAAGCGTGAGCGACGGTGCGGGAAAGCGTGAGCGACGGTGCGGGAAAGCGTGAGCGACGTTGCGGGAAAGCGTGACCGACGTTGCGGGAAAGCGTGAGCGATAGGGCCAAATGCGATGTTTGCGGAAAGGCGATGCCCAAGTAAGGAAACGTGGGCGCGCCTGTCAGGAGAGTGGGGAGTGGTGGGGACACGACAACGGAAAAAGAGGGTGGTCGGAGTGGTGAAAAAAGCGTCGGAATGAGGCTCGACGACGTTGACGAGGAAGCGACGGGAGGGGAGAGGGGTAAGGGCGACGGGAGGGCAATGGCGACGGGGAAACAGAGGAAGCGGGGGCGACGGTGCGTCAACGGGGAGGACGATGTGAGGGGAATTGAGGTTCACCATTTTACCGCGGTGTGGAATATTATGCGCTTCGCGCCTTTCACGCTTGGGATGAGGGTAAACTAAGTGTGGTAGGTAGGAAATTGCCTCTGGCCTATGATCTACGAGTTTCGCGTACTAGCCGCACAAGCATTCCTGAATTACAGTTTTTTGCAAACTGTGCACAGGCAGAGCCCACCCTCCTTCAGGAAATGGTGGTTGGGACTCTCGCCAAGCAGACCTGTTTTGCCCTACGACTCAGTCATTTTGTGGCGCGACGTTTTCTGGTTACCAGCCTGGCTCGGGAGGTCAACTGTGGGTTCGGTAGGCAAACTGTGCACAGTTTGCCTTTTTTTTTTTGTAATTCAGGTTTTGGGCTTTAAGGGGGTGAAGGTTCCAAGATCGTGCATCGCCAGGCAAACGTCCGCACAACTTGTGCGCTGCCAATTCGGCCTCGAGAGCTAGCATCAGCCAGCGCACAAGTTATGCGGGGCAACAATTTGAGAGACTGCGAGACTTCATGGCAACATCCCCCCAGCAAATTGAGAGATGAGAAGTTTGGGTGCGGCGAGAAGCTACTCGGAAGGACCTGCCCGTACATTTCATGCTGGAGCAATAACGCTTCAGAACTGCGCGAATGGCGAACCATCATCATCCGATGTCCTGGTCCACCACCAAATTCTCATCGACGGTTGCATTGGATATTGGTTCTCTATCGGACGGCTGTATGTACACTCGGACTTTCCTTCAGGTTTTGCCCCGTTACGACCTAAGGTCACTTTCATTTGTCAAATGTAAAACATTTACACAAGGCCAGTTTGCCATCGGATGGTTCACTGCGTCTCATCGCGATGAACAATGCCATGAGCACCAATCCACTCCCAGCCAATGTAGTTTCCCGTTTGCCCGAATCCCAACTCTCCAGCCGTAAGGTGCGGCGGTTTGGCGCAAAGCGAAATTGTCCTCCTGCGAGCCGAGCCGCCCCTAGCCGCATTTGGCAACCCACACAGATTGTCCGCGGCTCGACATTTCCAAAATCTCAAGCCGTTATACCACCTCTCATCGCACTTGATACTACTGCACCTGCGCTGTTCGTAGTCATCCTGCCACCACACACTTGTTGCCCAACACCACACACACCTGCAAAACACATCGCCTAGCTCATTCATCCTCATCCACTTTCTGCTTTCAACACCAGCCTTCTCACGTGGTACACTCTTGTGCTCCTGTATCCACACGCGCCGAGACTCAAACGCTTTCCCGCTTATATTGGCCGTACGAAGAGTGTCTACTTGACATCCAGTTTTTTTTCCTACTAAATCGGTACCTAGCGCTCAGAAGCTCCAGGCTTTACCGCTCAGAGGTAGTTCTGTTTGGGAAGTATTACCTAGTCAAAGAGTTTCCGCCCGACCTATCTCAGGACATGGCCGCCAGAATGGCCTCCCAGTACGCTGCTAACGACGAGAACCGCGTGATGGATGGGAAACGGGCCGGCAGCAAGAACGCCGCCGCGGCTATCGCACTGGAGCTCGGCGCGATGAAGCTTCGATCCGGCCATGTCCTCCCACCCCCGCGACGGGCTTTCGGCACGCTCACCAACAGCATGGCCTCCAAGGCCGCCGCTGGCGGAAAGTTCGAGTATGTCTTTGTAACTCCTTCACGGTCCTACGTTAACTGTTCCGCATTTTATTCTTTCCCTTGCTGCTGCATCGCGATGTCGTTGATTGTATTCTCCGTTTCATTGATTCTAACGCGTCGCCTCCCTCTGTTTTCTGTATCGCAGGAAGAAGGCCGAGCCTGTCCGCCAACGCGCTGCTCCCGCCGCCAAGGTCCCTGGTCGCGCCTCCGTTGTTGTGGTGAGTACTACTACTCGAAGCGCTTTGGACACTTGATCAGTTTCCGTCGCGGTTCTTCGTCTCACTTCACCATGTACCGTCTTCAGTCTTACCGTACTTCTTTTGTTACTTCGTTATCTGACGCTCCTCGATCTCGATCTTCTTGATCGCAGCCCAAGTCGCAACCCGCCGCCAAGTCCGCTCAGACCTCCAGCGCCGTCAGCGTCGTCACCGTCTCACCTGACGTGGAGGAAGTGATTCCGGGTGACGTGGATATCGAAGAGCCGCGCCACGTGCACACCATGACCGCCGAGCTGACGGCTGTAAGCGAGGAAGCGAGCGTCCTCTCCACGATCACCACGATAAACGCCGCCGCTGTCGCCGCCGCGTCCGTTAAGAGGGAAGCGTGGTGGGACATCGACGCTGCCGACAAGAGCAACCCTCTTGCTGAGACGACTTATGTCGCGGATATCTACAACTTCTACAGGCGGACGGAAACGGAAGGCATGGTGGCTCCCGATTACATGAACCGTCAGAGCGACATCAACGGCACGATGCGCGCGATTCTCGTCGACTGGCTCATCGAGGTCCACCTCAAGTTCAAGCTCATGCCGGAGACGCTTTTCCTCGCTATAAGCGTCATCGATAGGTACCTGGCGGTGACGCCGATTCCCCGCCGTAACCTGCAGCTGGTGGGGATCACGGCGATGCTGATCGCGTCTAAGTACTGTTGGTGCAACCCTACGGTTTGCACTCGGCTTGTTGTCCGTGTGCGTGAATGTGTGTGTGTATGGAATGGTATGAGGGCATGGGATAATGTATATTTCATGCTTATAATTGTGTGTGAATGTTGAGTCATGATGTCGAGTGTGTGTGTCGAGTCAATAGCGAGTTATCGCTAAACGCGTGTTACGCGGTCGTTTGTGTCTCGCGCGCGGTTTCTATTTTGTCGTGCGCGGTTTCTATTTTGTCCTGTGTCGAACGTTCGGCGTGTCGCAGGTGTGTGCAGCATACCCATCAAGAACTCAAGGATGAGTTTGTGATGAAGAGCCCGAGCCTTGGTGTCAAGCCTCAAGTGATTTCGAAGCTTGCCAAAAGGGTACACCTCAAGATATTGAAGATAGTTACATTACTTTGTGTAGTGTAACATTTCACTTGGTGTAGGCCCTAGTGAAGGGTAGTTTCGAGACCCTTCGTGGTTGGGGACAGTGTGGCACTGTTCCACATCACTGTACCTCGGCTCTTGGGGTTTGTAGGAGCTGGGAGTCATTCCCAACTCGTAACTCTTCCTATCTTGTGTTCTAAGACTATAGTGGCTGCCATAGTACCGTTCGTTCAAACCGACGCTGTGTCGTCAATTCTTTATCAAATCGTGCAATCTAAATTGCTAATTGTAGACGACGTAAAGACGCTCCAGATCCAATTTGAATCAAGTCATTTGCAGCTGTGAGCAGAACGCTATCAACGTTTGAAGCCGCTGTGCAGAAATCCGTCTGTGCTCTCTATCTTTCGTTTTAGGCACATTCAAGCCTATTGTGACTATAACAAGTGGTATCAGAGCCCCTTGGAGCAGTTTCGACAATGTCTGGACCTGAGGAAAGGGGTGGCAGAGGTGCTGGTGGCAGTGGAGAAGCTCAAGCTCAAGGCCAACCCCGTGATTCAGCCATGGCGCCCATGCAACCAAGTCTTGGCCCACCTAGGGATGAGCCTAGGGTGTTTGGGCTTGACAAGTTCAACGGTGACAACTTTGCTGAATGGTCCTTCAAGATGGAGAACATCTTTGACCACTATGACCTGCTGAAGGTGATGGAAGGAACGGAGAAGCGCCCCGAGAACGACCCGGAGAAGAGCCCGTGGGTGCGGAAGAGCGCACAAGGCTATCTCTTACTTGGGCAAGCGTTGGGGAGCAGTCAGATCCGTCACATCAAGCCATTCCAGCGTGAACCAGAGAAAGGACCAAAGGCATGGGCTGCTCTCAAGGGTGTACATGCTCCTGCAACAGCGGCGGTAGCGGTGGTGTTGGAACGGCAAATGGCGGCACTACGAATTGAAGAAGACGAAGCGGTTGAAGAAGGGGTGCAGAAATTCTTCGACTTGTTGACGCGGCTTGAGGGAGCTGATTTGAACTACAGTGAGCTCCAAAAGAAGACCAAGTTGCTGGCCTTACTCCCAGAGTCATGGTCCTCGCTCATCATCAACCTTAATCGCGACTTGCCCCGCCTCTCGCTTGAAGACGTGAAGCGAGCTATCCTTCAAGAGGATTTCCGCCGCCGTGAGTTGGCGAGTGCGGATGGCGCTGGGGCAGCGAGCATCGGCCGTGGATATGGTCAAGAAAGAGGCAGAGGACGAGGGGGAGGAAGGTTTGGTGGCAGCAACTTCGGCGGAGGCCGCAGGAGTGGCGGTTACGGCAGCGACGACAAGAGCTACGGACGCGGTCGCGGCCGATTCGACGGCGAGTGTCACTATTGCCACAAGAGCGGACACATGTGGCGCGACTGCTACAAACTCCCTGATGGTTGGACCCCTGCTCAAGGCCAAGAGGGTAGAGGAGCAGGAGGAGGGAGAGGACGAGGCCGTGGAGGCCGTGGCGGTCGCGGTGGCGGAGCTGCAAACATGAAGAGCGGAGACAACGACAAGGACCCGAGCGACGATCGATACCCGGGTCTATTCTACTTCGTGTCGACGCAAGTACCGGCTGGTCCAGAGAAGGATGAAGGCTTTGAGGAGCCAGCAGCTGTGGGGAAGGTGACCCTACACCCCCTGGACTATTGGGTGATTGATAGTGGCGCTACCTATAGCATGACACCTCGCCCGGACTTGCTCACCGAACTCGAGCCGTCACCGGTGAAGCATGTCACATCGGCTTTGGGGCAGCGAGCAGAGGTGAAAGGCATGGGCAAGGCCATGTTCAAGGGTGCTGATGGGAAGATGGTGGGCCTCAAGAACGTGCTTTGGGTGCCCAGCCTTGCTGCAAACCTGATTTCCGTGCGGCGGTTGGCAAAGGTCGGCATGGACACGAACTCGAAGGGAGCCAAGACCTACACCGCAAGGCTTGGCGATCGAATTCTTTGGGACCTTCATGAGGACAGGGATGTCTACAACGAGATGTGGCAGATCCCAGTGGTCCCTATGCCTAAGGAGAGGCAAGTGGCAGCAAGCATCAGCACCAAGGATGGAGCGGTCGGTAGCGACGATGGCGCGAACGGTCGCGCTAAGGAGAATGAGCTCAAGAAGAGCAAACCTGGAGGGACCAGCAAGTTCAGTGAACCTAAGGAGAGTGGTGCAGCAACCAAGGAGCAGCAAAAGGGTGAGGAGAACCCAGAGGCAGCAGCGGAGGAGGACTACGGAGAGAGTATGTGGGGCGCTATTGCGAGCGCGGCATTCTCCAATCCAACTTCGGCTACGGGGGAGTGTGATTGGCTCACCTTGCATCGGCGCATGGGGCATGTGGCCCTGCCCATCTTGCAGCAGCTAGTGAAGAATGAGATGGTTGCTGGCATACGTGTGAAGGGGGAGCCCGATGAGGTGCTTGGCTGCCCGACGTGCATTCAAGCCAAGTTCACCCGGTTTCCGTTCCCTAGTTCGGAGGCAACGGCAAAGGCACCGCTTGATGAGGTGGTGATGGACGTGGTGGGCCCCCTGAAGCTTGGAGCTGCTGGAGCTGAGTATTTTCTCACCATTGTCGACGTCTACACCCGCATGACTTGGGTGTACGTGCTGGCCAAGAAGAGCGACGTGGCTGAAACGTTGAAGACGGATTGGTTCCCGATGGTGGAGCGGCAACAAGACCGTCTAGTCAAGTCAATCCGCACCGATCGAGGGGGAGAGTTCCTGAGCAAGGAGTTTGGGTTGTGGCTGAAGAAGAATGGTATTCGGCACTCCCTCACCATGCCATACTCCCCTGCAATGAACGGCATCGCCGAGCGAGCGAACCGCACAATCACGGAGGCAGCACGCGGGTTGCTCATTGAAGCCGGGCTACCCGACCATTTCTGGCCTGATGCGGTGCGGAGCGCGTGTGTGGCCAAGAACAGAGCCTTGACTCATGTGGGAGCAGACAAATGGGTGCCCTATGTGGAGTGGCTAGGAAGGAAGCCAAAGGTGGATATGCTTCGGGTGTTCGGGTGCATGTGCATGGCGCTCGTGCCTAAGCATCTTCGGCACAACAAGCTTGGTGCCAAGGCGGTGTGGGCCGTGCACTTGGGCATGGCTCAAAACAGCAAGGGATGGCTTCTTTGGGACCCATTCACCAAGAAGTTCTTGGTGAGCAGGGACTGCAAGTTCATGGAGAACTTCATGTACAAGGATTGGAAGGCGGAGAATGAGGCGAAGATAGGCGTGCGGTTTGGGGAGGTGAAGAGTTCCGGTTTGGAGCATGTGGAGCTGCCTTTGGAGCTGAGCAGCGGCAGCACAACCACAAGGCAATCCTCCCTTGTGAATGGGGGAGAGGAGGCCAATGATGCAGAGGAAGAAGAGGAGGAGGTGCAGCAAGTGAGTGAGCGTGCACCGTCACTCCCTTCCCGTACTACGAGTGCTCCACGGATTCGAGCCACACCGCAGCAACGCCAAGGCCTTCAAGTCCCTGCAGCTGAGGAGGAAGGAAGGGGGAAGAGGAGAGTTCAACCCCCTAATAGGCTGACCTATGATGCGCCGGGAAAGCAGGGCAAGACAGCCCTGGCCGGAGCGGCAATGATGGTCGGAGACGACGAGGAGAGTGACTACGAGGAGTGTGCCTTCGCGTTCTTCTCTCCGGTGGAGATGCCGGGAGAACCAGCAACTCTCAAGGAGGCTTTGGAGAGTAGTGATGCTGAGGAGTGGAAGAAGGCCATGGAGAGTGAGCTGAAGAGCATCGAGGAGAATGACACGTTTGAATTGGTGGAGCTACCGGAGGGGCGTACGGCGATAACGTCCAAGTGGCTCTTCAAAATCAAGTCGGATGCCGACGGCAAGATCGAGCGCTACAAGTCTAGGCTTGTAGCCAAGGGGTACCAGCAGAAGGAGAAGGTGGACTTCAAGGAGCTGTTTGCCCCTGTGGTGAAGCCGACGACGCTGCGAACCCTATTCGCGGGAGCCGCCATCAAAGGATGGGTAGTAAAGCAAATGGACATCGTAACGGCATTCCTTAACGGCATCCTTGAGGAGGAGATTTTTATGGCGCAGCCAGAGGGGTTTGATGATGGTAGTGGCAGAGTGTGGAAGCTGAAGAAGGCCCTCTATGGGCTGAAGCAGGCCCCTAGGCAATGGTACATGAAGCTGCGCGAAGTGTTGGAGGGGATCGGCTTCACTCCCTCAACGGCCGATCACTCCTTGTTCATGCTTGGCGAGGGGGAGCAGAGGAGTTTCATGGTGGTTTATGTGGATGACATCCTCATTTTCTCACCCTCTTCTGACCTTGTGAAGGAGGTGATGCTGAAGCTTCAAGACAAGTTCAAGTGCAAGGCCCTTGGTGACGTGAGCTTCTACCTTGGGCTCCACATCGAACGAGATGTGGAGAAGCGGTGCATGCGGGTGCATCAACGAAAGTACCTGGAGGCATTGGCTGCCAACTTTGGGCAGAGTGAAGGCCATGTGGCTACACCCTTTCCCTCTGGGTTCAAGTGTGTGAAGGGACCAGAGGAGGAGAGCGTTGGTGAAGAGGAGAGGCGCCGATTTCACTCGTTGGTGGGCAGCCTCATGTATGCGGCGGTAAACATCCGACCGGACGTCGCGTTTGCTACCGGGCAGCTGGCTAGGGTTGTGCAATGCCCTAATGAGGAGCAGGTAGCAGCTGGAATGAGGGTGGCCAAGTATCTTGGCCAAACACCGACCGTTGGGCTGCAATACTCGGCGGCGGCACAAAGGCGCCAAAAGGGCGCGGATGGTGTTGAACCCGGGCGTTTGTTCCTCACCGCCTACTCGGATGCTTCATATGCATCAGAACCAGAGGACATGACAAGTGTGGGAGGCTTCATATGCTGTGTTGGTGGAGGCCCAACTGCTTGGGAGAGCAAGAAGCAGGTTCACCAAGCTTTGAGCTCGGTGGAGTCCGAGTACATGGCACTCTTCCGTGCCGTACGGGAGATTGTGTGGCAGCGGCGTTTGTTGGCTGAATTGGGGGAGGAGCAGCAAGGACCTACCCCACTGTACTGTGACAGCCAGGGTGCCATTGCTCTTGCTAAGAACCCTGTGTTGCATGGACTCACGAAGCACATGAGAGTGAAGTGGCATTGGACGAGGAGCATGGTAACCGCGGGTGAAGTTGAGTTGTGCTACGTGAAGACCACGGGGCAGCCGGCTGACATGATGACCAAGAGGCTGGTGGAGCAGCAGCATTGGAAGTGTTGCAAGCTGGCTGGGATGGCTCTGAACTGAGAGAGCAACATATCCTAAGGCCAACAATCCGAGGGGGAGTTTGTTGGTGCAACCCTACGGTTTGCACTCGGCTTGTTGTCCGTGTGCGTGAATGTGTGTGTGGATGGAATGGTATGAGGGCATGGGATAATGTATATTTCATGCTTATAATTGTGTGTGAATGTTGAGTCATGATGTCGAGTGTGTGTGTCGAGTCAATAGCGAGTTATCGCTAGACGCGTGTTACGCGGTCGTTTGTGTCTCGCGCGCGGTTTCTATTTTGTCGTGCGCGGTTTCTATTGTGTCCTGTGTCGAACGTTCGGCGTGTCACAGGTGTGTGCAGCAGACCCATCAAGAACTCAAGGATGAGTTTGTGATGAAGAGCCCGAGCCTTGGTGTCAAGCCTCAAGTGATTTCGAAGCTTGCCAAAAGGGTACACCTCAAGATATTGAAGATAGTTACATTACTTTGTGTAGTGTAACATTTCACTTGGTGTAGGCCCTAGTGAAGGGTAGTTTCGAGACCCTTCGTGGTTGGGGACAGTGTGGCACTGTTCCACATCACTGTACCTCGGCTCTTGGGGTTTGTAGGAGCTGGGAGTCATTCCCAACTCGTAACTCTTCCTATCTTGTGTTCTAAGACTATAGTGGCTGCCATAGTACCGTTCGTTCAAACCGACGCTGTGTCGTCAATTCTTTATCAAATCGTGCAATCTAAATTGCTAATTGTAGACGACCTGAAGACGCTCCAGATCCAATTTGAATCAAGTCATTTGCAGCTGTGAGCAGAACGCTATCAACGTTTGAATCCGCTGTGCAGAAATCCGTCTGTGCTCTCTATCTTTCGTTTTAGGCACATTCAAGCCTATTGTGACTATAACAAGTACGAGGAGATCTGGGCTCCTGAGTTCGGCGACTTCGTGTATATCTGCGATAGCGCGTAGACGCGCCAGGACGTGTTGAAGATGGAGAAGGATATGCTCAACACGCTGCAGTTCAAGCTCACCATCCCAACCACGTACGTCTTCGCTGCGCGATTCCTCAAGGCCGCGACCGCCGCCGCGAACGCCGCCACTACCGCTGGTGCGGGTGCTGACATGGCGGTGACCGTTGGAGCAGACACGCGCGTTCACGCGCTCGCGTGGTTCCTTCTCGAGCTGACCCTGCCTGAACACTCGATGATCAAGTTCTCCCCGTCGCACCTGGCCGCTGCTTCGGTCTACGCTGCTCTGCTTACGGCTCACCACCCCAACAAAACAGCCACGGGAGCAGCCTCGGCAGGCGCCGGTGAGGTTTGGGGCCCCGGCATGGCGTGGCTTACCGGATACGACGAAGCGACGCTGTGGCCGTGCGTGGAGCAGCTTGTGGCTCTGCACGAGAAGGCAGGCACGGGAAACCTCGCTGCTGTTCACAAGAAGTACTCGCGGAAGCAGTTCGAGGAGGTAGCGAAGATTCCTGCTGTTCCTCACCTGCCAGAGAATCCCCCCCGTGCCGCCGTTGCACATAAGCTGACCAAGTCGACATCCTGCTTGTCGACGGCCAACTCGTCCGTTCCAGTGGCTGGCAGGAAGTGAAAGGAGGAGGATGGATGTACCTTGGGAGTCGCACCGAGCTAGTATCTGGTCGCTTAGAGCTCATTTCGCAGGGTCATCTCGCCATGTTTTTGCTTTCCTGCTCGTGATGAGGGCTCCCTCTGCCCTTCTAAGGAGCTTTTGCTCTCCTAGCTTGTTTTTGCTTTCCTAGCTTGTTATCTGAGGTGCTCTCTCGGCCTAGACTAAATAAGGACTTGGGTTCTTATGTTAGGACGTGTACAGCGGTCTAAGCAATAATAACTTGCCATTGAGCATGAAGTATGACAATGACAAGCAAGAAGAACGACATAAATAATGCTGACATCGTGAGTGGGCAACAGCCTGATTCCATCCCCCCTTATCCCGTACAATCACCCACCTTCCTTCACTACTTCTCACGGCATTCCGAACCCTGGTCCGAGGATAGCGCATCAATGTCCTCTGACAGTGGTGCTGGATAGGTGGCAGCTTCCAGGAGCTTCTTCCCCTTGTACTTCTCATACACCGCGCCACGGCGACTCGACAAAGCTGTCTTGTATATCTCCAGCAACAGCCCCACACAGTGCCAAAGCTCCTGAGCTTCAAAACCAGTCAAGTGAGCCATGCGTGATCCCCAGAGTTCACCTTCATTGGTTGGCCTCCTGTGCGTGATGGTCTGGTTGCTCTCTGCATCAGTTGGCTTGGCTGCCTTTCCCTTTTGATAGGCTCCAAGCAGAGCAGTGAATACCGCTGCAGCAGCAAGATGAGACGGAGTGAACTGAACCATGCTGATCTCTGGAATGGTAAGCTCCAGAAGGTACCATGCAAAGGCATGAACGCGACTGCTGGTTCCCTTTGATACTTCGATGCTCCACCCATTTGAAACTGCATTTGAAGCCGTGGCGGCATCAGCTGCAGCCTTGGCAAAAGTCAGGTAACGAACAGCGAACATGTAGCATGTTGGGATGCTCAGCTTGAACGATATCTTGTTCAATATCCGCTTCTCCATCAACCGAATTTGTCCTCGCGTGTAGGCGCCATTTCCAATATCTTCGAAGTCAGCAACAAGAGGAGCGTAAATCTCCTCGTATTTCGAAGCAATCAAGATGCATGTTGCGCCAACCAGCTGAATGTGTTTCTTAGGCACATGAGTGGCAGCAAGGTATCGGTCGAAGATGTTGACAGCCAGAAAAAGAGTTTCAGGCATCAGATTATAGGATTCATGGACCTGTATGGCGTTTATAAGGAGTAAAAAAGATAAGGCCAGAAGCAAGAAAAAGCGTAGAGGACGACAATGCTGTACCTGAACCACCCAATCTAGCACAACGCCTCGAATGTGACTGTCGACTTCGGATTGAGCAGACATGTAAGTGGGGCAAACCATTCCCTCCTTCTGTAAAATAGAAACTCAATTAAGCTAACCTTCGAGTTGAGCATCCGAAGAAGGATATCAAAAACTGACCTCCGTCATCTTGTAATGGTTGTAGATGTCAGCGATGTAAGTTGTCCCACCAAGCGGATTCTCACGGTCTCGAGCATCCACATCCCAGCAGGACTCCACTTTTACTTCCAGGGTCTTCTCGATGAGCTGCTTCGTCATGGTCAAGATGTGCCTCCCTGGACCAGCGTTGCTCCCTGCGCAATGACCAGCACTCTCCCTGCGTTGAAAAACATATTGCGTCACTTCGTTTGTTGCTTTCTCATGGTTGGATGGGAGTTGTGTCACCGTCTGTTGAGTTACTAAGTAAGAGTAAGCTTAGGTTTTAGGTAGGGCCTAGGCTTAGTAGCCTAGGCCTAGGGGAAGTCGAGGAGGTTGTGCCAAGGTGAGAGTCGAGAATGGGAAAAGTGATGTTCACTATAGCACTAGGGTACATATAGTAAACAGAGCATGCAAAGAAGGTGCACCACCAACAGTTTATAATAACTACACTAAACTACAGCTACAGGCAGTTACATATAAATTCTAACACTCCCCCATAACTGCCTGCAGCAGGAGTTTGTGCAGAACACAACCTGCAGGGGTATACCAGCAACAGCAACAGCAGGTACGGTAACAGAGCAGGTACAGCAGCAAAGGGACAGGCGACAGCAAGAAATTCCTGCCACCCCCTTACTCTCTTCCCCCCCCAACCACAGGAGGGGCAGCAGGGAGAGTGAGGAGGCGGGCTGGCTCTGGCTGGTCACCCCCTCCATTTCCTCACCCTCCCCCTCCCCCTCCCCCCCACACTGCTGCACGAGCAGCAGAGGGGGGAAGAGAGGAGAGGTGGAGGGACGGCTGCTGGTTGGTCTCACACCCGCCACCCCAGTGCCACTCCCCCGGCTCCCCCACACCCTCACACCCTCCCCCCCAGCGGCAGCTGCAGCAGTGGGAACGAAAGGAGGAGGAGGGGAAGGGAAGCACACCACCCATCACCCCAACACCCGCCACCCCCATACCCTCCCCCCCACGGCTGCAGGGAGACGAAGGAGGAGGGGGTGGGCAGGGAGAAAGCCGCAGAGCGGCTACAGAGGGTCGGCGCGGGTAGGTCAGGGGCGGCTGCAGTGAGTGCAGGCGCGGGGTGAGGCAGAGGCGGCTGCACCGAGTGCAGGAGCGGGGGCGGCTGCTCCAAGGGCAGGCGCCGGGTGGTGCAGGGGCGGCTGCAGCGAGTGCAGGCGCGGGTGAGGCAGGGGCACCGCCGAGTGCGCCAGGGGCGGGTACGCGGCGGCTCAGGACACCGTCGCAGGCGCCAGGGGCGGTTCCGCGGCGGCTCAGGGCACCGTCGCGCACCACGGGGCACGTGACGGGCAGTTTAGGGCACCGTCGCATGCCACGGGGCGCACGACGGGCAGGGCACCGTCGCGTGCCACGGGGCGCATGACGGGCAGGGCACCGTCGCGTGCCACGGGGCGCACGACGGGCAGGTTTAGGGCACCGTCGTGTGCCACGGGGCGCACGACGGGCAGGGCACCGTCGCGTGCCACGGGGCGCACGACGGGCAGGGCACCGTCGCGTGCCACGGGGCGCGCGACGGGCAGAAAAGATGTCACTCGCCACCCGGGGGCGGGACAGGACGAAAATCGCCACGCGCCCGAGGCGCGCGACCGGAAAAACAGCAGCGGAAGCGTGAGGCGGGCCCACAGGCCAGGACGTAACTCGCTCTAATGCCATGTTGAGTTACTAAGTAAGAGTAAGCTTAGGTTTTAGGTAGGGCCTAGGCTTAGTAGCCTAGGCCTAGGGGAAGTCGAGGAGGTTGTGCCAAGGTGAGAGTCGAGAATGGGAAAAGTGATGTTCACTATAGCACTAGGGTACATATAGTAAACAGAGCATGCAAAGAAGGTGCACCACCAACAGTTTATAATAACTACACTAAACTACAGCTACAGGCAGTTACATATAAATTCTAACACCGTCTGAGTGTCCAAATCAGTTGTCTTCACGCTGCTAGAATCAGTAGCAATAAGATGATCAGCGACATTGTCCTCATGAACCGGTGCAGTAAGGTGATCCAGGAGTTCTTCGTCGTGAACAGCAGCAGTCGAATGATCAGCGACATTCTCCTCATGGATAGCCGCAGCAACGTCATCAGCGACACCTTTATCATGAAAAGCAGCTGTGAGATGATCAGCGACCTTCACTTCATGGATAGCTGCAGCAACGTGATCAGCGACATCTTCGTCATGAAAAGCAGCAGTGAGATGATCAGCTAGTCCATTGTCTTTATTAACAGGTGCAGTAAGGTGATCGGTGACATCTCCATCATCAGCAATCGCTGCTGGAGCGACCTCAGGAGGATCACTGATCGCAGTCGTTGAAGACCTTCGACTGACAGTCGCGTTGCTGGAACGAGCGGCAACGGGAGCAGAGCTGCTGCTGCGTCGCAGTACATTGCTCCGTGTGGTAGGAGGACGTGTCTGCTCGAAGAGGCCTTTAGAAATTCCAGCCGGACGCCATGCCGGAGTGGGTGGTTTTGTTGGCCGAGCCTGTACATTTGTCGCTAGCATCAGTAATTATCAGAAATGGCATTCCTCATGCCGCTTAAATCACGTTCCAAGCACACCTGAGGAGCCAGCTTCTTTAATGCTGCTTTCGGAACATCCCCTACTTTTGAAGGAGCCTTGTCACTGAAATATGAAACGCGGAGTCAGTGATGTATCTCGACGAACTTTTCTGTTGACGCATTTTTTTGTTTTACCGCCCGGAGACCACGGCCTTGGTGGTATTCGTGACATGACGCAGCGAAGGACGAGAACTTTCGATCTTACTCCGTACGACGTTCGACTTCGTGGCTGGATTACATTTACGGTATACGGTTAAAGCCGCGGTGCAACTATCTTAGGAACAGTGACAAGCCGGGTTTTGTCTTGTTCCGTACTGGTAGTCAATTGGCTAGCGAGTGTGTAAGTTGTGTTGCGATGAAAACATCCAAGGCGAATGTCGCGAACCTCGAAAGGAAAAGTGGGGGGGAAGGGGTGGGGGGAAGGGAAGGGGGGAACACACACGAAACGGGAAATGGGACCACATCAACACCCCCATACTCCCTTTCGCTGATTGTTCTGCCAATAACACCTCCACATTGCAAAACGATAAACCTTATGTTTCATAAAAACTTTGCAAAATACATATTTCACTTACAAGGTTTATTTTGGTTTATTTATCCATCCATTTGCAAGAGTATTATTTCTAATGGGGAGAAAGAACATCAACTGTACAGACCTGCAAGACTTGGAATGTCATATTGAAATCCTTATCATGCAAAGGATCGCAAGCAAACAACATGGCATAATCCAAGGAGAGCCGATTTTTACACTCCGATCCACTATTGGTGCAGCTGTCCATTTACAGGGAGGAGGGGGGAGGGGAAAAGGGGAAGGAAACGTTGCGCATTATTGAAGAATGTTAGGTAGGGAAGTTGAAGAGAGCATGGAAACTGAGATATGATAGACAGCCTTCAGTGGCCAAGCAAAGCTGGTACTGTTGGCTGAATTGAACGAGAGAACGTAGTGGAAAGGGAAGGGACGGTAGTGGGGGAAGGCGAGGGGCAGGGGAGGGGGGAAAGGGATGGCTGAGAGAAGCGTGAATGGTGGGAGAGGACAGTAGGAAAGGGAAGGGATGTGAGAGAGGGGGAGGAAAGGTGGGAGGGAAGGACAGGGGGAAAGGGAGAGAAGGACAGGGGGAAAGGGAGAGAAGGACAGGG